ATAAACTACTCTTTCATTTGTTTCAGTTCACTTTTGTTTTTCGGTTCGGACTGTGTTTTGATTGTGTTTTACCTAATCCTTTTCTTTTGATAAACTAGTAAAATGTTTTCTTGATGAATCAATTAGACGTGTTCTCTGCCTTGTTTATTACTTGGTTTGTGTTAATGCATAGCCATCATCTTATTTGTATCATTTCATAAATCCATACAATTCCTCTGGTTTATTTATTTTGTTTGCTTTTGTTTCATTTTCTCAATTCCACAATTTCTGTTGCCATTGGTAGTTTCTTTTAGACTTGTCATGTTGTTTTTTATTGACTTTTCTGCTCTACCTGCCCTGGTTTCTCCTTTAAATAAGTATTCCATGTCATCCATCTATGGGTTCCTGCATTTGGTTCCTCACCTTACCACAGAGCCTGACACCTTGGATTAGGACATGTTTGTTCTTTTCTAAATCCAATCAGCAGAAATGCATTGAGGTTAGAAATGAAATTGTTTTATTTTCCTTTTCCAACTTTAATGCATTGCAGCATAAGGAGAGCAGAGAAATGGAAAGTATATGGAAAGAATCCATAATGAGGAAGTTTCTGCCTTACTTAAAAAAAATACACAGTCACGTAGAAAAGAGTTGAATGTAAAAACCATCAACGAATAAAAATCCTTTTTTCCCCTTTTGGTTGAAAGTCCCAAATGAGAAAAGATCAAACATGTCTCAGTGTTATTTATCAGTGATGGGAAGATAAAGTAGGGCATCAACAGGAAGGTTGTGATGATTTTAGCACTGACGCAATCCATCTTACTGTTGTGCAAAAAGGCAATATAGGTCCAAAGTCAAAACTTTTAATCTTTCTGTCAATCTACATTCCAAGCATGTTCTATGGGTATGAACTCTGGAAAAGGAAACAGCAAACTGATCTACCATCTGAACTAGGTCAAATTTCTGTTGCAGGATGAGTAGCCAGGACATCTAATGCCTCAGAGGAGGATTGATAGTCTTTCACGTTAAAAGTCAAAAGTTGTTGAGACATGGGATTCACAGCAGAATGTCCTCTGGATAGCTCTCCATTGAAGGTATTCTGGGCATGTCTGTTCAAAGCTAACTGGGGTGATTAAATCCCACCTGGTCTGGGAACACACCAAGGGAGATAGACATGTGGAATTCCTTGCTTCGGTTGCAACTTGGTTTTCAGTGCCCTTTCAGTTCCCTTGTTTTCTGTGGCTAGCCACAGAAAATAAGGTTGACCACAGTATGAAGCAATGCAATGCCTACATTTAAAGACAAAGCTTCTATCCAAATTGAAAAGCAATGGTCTCATGACCGACATAATCAGCACAAATCAGGTTTGGGACGTTTTCCTTTTGATGTCTTAATTTTGCTTCACGTGTCTATCCAGACAAGTCTGAGAAAGCAGCTGGGAACATACAGTATGTGTTTACTCTTCATTCTTCCTCTATTAACCCACCTTTTGGTTCTGCTCACATTCATATTCCTTTCAATTCTCCTTCACTGTTGCAGCTACCATCCTGTCGTAAGTGCCCCATTCCTCCTCTGCAGCTCCATTAAGTAATGAGCCTGCATAATAAATCACAGCTACTGTCCATATGACTGAAAGCCTAACAAAAAACACGCCCCACGCTTGGCTAAATCAGCATTATCCACAGCTCCACAGCATGGTCCAGTTCTTATATAAAGCAGTATAAGGATCATGTCCTTCACCACAGGACAGGAGACTTGTTAGCGGATCCCATGTCTCTACAACATGGGGGGATGATTATGGCTGGGTCAATATCGAAAATGAGTGTCTGTATTGATGTTCAGTAGCTGCTGGGAAGACTTTTCTCCCTGTCTTGCTGTGAGAGCCAAGAATAGATGCAATGAACGGGTTACACTGGCTGCCAGTTCCATCGAACTTGCAGTAGCCTTTGAAAACTCCTGCCAGTGGGATCTCTATCTGAAAAGCAGCTGTGTGTGCATTCCGAGGAGCTCAACTATCAAATCCCATCCTAAATTGTAACTGCTCCGTGTGCATTGTAACAGAGAACAGGTTGCAGGTATTGCTTTTCTATTCAAACAAGGCTGAGAAAATATTAACCAACTGTTATGAACTAACAATGTTTGGAATGTGTGTCTTTGAGTGCTACTGCACTGCAGGAGGCTGTTGTTGCTTGCAAAGTATTCTAATCATTTTAGTGTGCTGTCATTGTCAACCATAGAAACTACAAGTTGATAGATGTTTATGCTGCCTGTCACCAAGAACAATAGTAATATTACATCAGGTGTTAGTAACTTAATTGTAGTTTATATTTCCAACCCTAAATTTATAGGGTTTGGAATAATTCATCTTTACCCTCTGAGCACCAAGACATACATACAGTGTGACAATTAGGCTAAACAGGTCACTAACACCCACTAGATAACTAAATATCTGAGCTATAAATAGCTAAGTAGAGTGTACCTCACCCCGTAAATGCCCAAACAGATTCAGAAGGGATTACGTGTCTCGGTATGATTGGTATGTCTGTCAGTGACAAGCAGCTTTTGCTGCTTTGAACTAGCGTCCAGTAGAGTCAAAAATTAAAAATCATTATTAGGAACATGTGTCAAATGAGGATGGTACATGTTATTGTCTAACCAAGGCAGGAAATTTGTCTATGGAACAAAAGACCCAAAGAAAAATGACTGTCTTTTAGTTTTTGAGCATGACCTGCAAATGCAACAAGAAAGATAAACTGACCAACCTACAACAAACTGTGATAATGGCCCATGCAAAGCTGTCTTAATTCCAATTTTCTACCTAACAGCGCCACACCATTTATCTTACATATTTTTATTGTTACTATGTCATCATCTACATATGGTAGTATCCAAGTAAAATATGTACTTACCCTTATATCAATATCAAGGACTTCATACATATACTGTGTCCATTCACTTCATATGTTGCTTTGTCACTTTACTTCAAATGTCTATGTCAGGACCTTCATACTTATAGATATACTTTTTATACTTTTTATATTTATACCGCTATACTTACAACTTAGGGTAGAATCATGCTTGTTTTATTTCATTTTATGCTAATGTTTATTAAATGTTTAATGGTTAATGGTTATTGTTGCACCAGGGGTCTGAGAGTAATGACATTTCAATCCTGTGTATGTCCTGTACATATTGCAGCTTTGACAATAACGTTGACTTTGACTACTTTGAGGTTATTGCTTGAAAAACATATTATTTCAACAAATACAAAGTCTTTATATAATTATGCAGTATTTTAACAGCAGTATTATATTACGTTACGGGTATGACTGCAATGTACTTTTGGAGTTTTCTGTGTCACTGCCTTGCCATTGTGTCATCGTGGTTCATCTCCCGGCCCTCCTCCTGCCCTAGGCTTAGACTCCGGCCTGTCATGGTGGCTGTTTCCATGATCCTCCATCTGCTTGCATGGACCAAACTTTACAGACCATTAGTTTCCGTGGGGAAACCTCGGATGTTCTCTATATGCCGGTCCCAGTTCTGCAGGGCAATTTGGGAGGGCAGATGCTGCCATCGTTATTATCATCAAGCTGCTAACGTGATCTGCTAACGCTGCTAACAAGACCACGCCGCTAACAGAACCACCCTGCCAATAGGACCATGCTGCTGAAGATGTATTTCTTTTTCACTTTTGACACTTTGCTTTTTCTGCATGCTTTAGTATGTTTTTTTTTTGTTGTTGTTTGTTTGTTTTTGTTTTTTGACGAGTCGAGACGGTTCATCCCGTCCTCAGCATTTCATTGCATCGTTGATTTGCATATGACAAATAAACCAAACCTATTATGACATTGATGAGGTGCGATATTATTATCATTCCTCTCACTAACCTTATTGAAACTATAGGAGTAATTTTACCAGTTACATATTTTTATTAATCTCACACAGGTAAACATAAGCTGTTTAGTACTTTTTGTAATCATGAGGCACCATATGATGATAATACCACCTCCATACTTTATGGTCATGAAATTTTGTTTGCAATGGCATGCCCCAGCTAGGCTTGTTGCATTCTTGTTTCACCCCTACAAAACTGAACAAAACATGTCATCATTCTTTTGTGTCAGACAAAACGTCCACCCAGCATTCAGCATGCTGATGTCCTGGCAGTGTGCAAATGTTAATTAATGCAGTTTTTATCTCATTGAGCAAGCTTTTTCTTCTGGACATCATATACAAAGGTTTACTTAATACCATGTCATTTCTATTGTTCAAGCTGCTCCAATTCCTATTGACAAGCCTCATTCCAAGTGACACTCGGACCTTTGGTATCAAACTGATTGAGTCACTGTCTAAAGTCTCCTTTGAGGAGGATGGACACTGTGACAAGTATCTCTTGTTTACATCTTCTGGTTATCGCTGTGATGCTGTCAACTTAATTTGATGTTATTGTGTGTTTTTTTTTTTATCTATTTAAAGTTTCACAGTTGTACTCTCATTTCCTGCATAATCATTTCCGTGTTACATGCTGACGAACACCAGAACTTGTCAGATCTGAGTGTCTAACGATCAATTTGTTGTTTGATAAAGAAGAAAAAAAAAACCCCATCTCATTGACACTTCGTGTAACTTGAATGATTATACAGTTATTAAACTTCTATCAGTATTCTGACTCTTGAAAATGAAAAAAGAGACTTGTCAGTTCAAAATGAATGCGTTTCTTTTGACACCAAAAGGCTATTGCACATGCAGAATAATGTTTTTAAAACTAGACTCTAGAGCTTCTTTTGGAAACTTAGGTTTAAATTTTTAAAGGATTGCTATGAGTCAGCCTCATGATAAAATCACTTTTAACTTCCTTTAAAGAAGTCTCGCGGCCCCCCTGTTGATCCTAGCACGTCTATACGTGATTAGTCAAGCACGTCTTTTCACTGCAACTGAGGTGGAGGGAGCCAAGGGGGGAGGGGGGGAGGGCGAGAGGGGAGGGTGCTGTATTTGGAGGAAAGGGGGGGTCACCTTTTGTGCAAATATATCAACCAAGTAGACTGCCACCAGCATCAGATTTCTGAGTGCGGGTGTGTGTGTGTGTGTGTGAGAGAGAGAGAGAGAGAGATAGAGGCTCTGCTGTGCGTCAGAGACACGGAGGGGGAAAAGGTTTAGGAAGCGTTGGAGCATTGAAAGCAGAGAAATTTGCAGCTGAACCTGATTTTTTTTCCACTTTACAGCCACCAAACAAAGTGACTACTTTGACATTGAAGAAGTTCAAGAAGGCAGCCATGGACGGAGTAACTCCAGGACGCACGTCGCTCCTCTGCACCTTGCTGCTCTGGACATTTCAAAGTAAGTCTCTCACATTTCCCCACTTCTTTTTTTTTTTTTTTTCAAAACGTTATCTCGCTTCCCATTGACTTTTATTGTGATTGACGTGGTGCATGTAGGGTTTCCACATCTTGGCTCGCCCCGAGTTTACCGCAGACACTAACAAAAAACCTTGAAAACCTGTCAGAGCGCGGCGCAAGTTGCGCTTTTTAAGTTCTCCATCAAACGGCGCAGTTCTCATTTGTCAAATGTTCTTCACTGATGATAAACAACCTGCTCGGCTTCGGACATTTTGCAGAAGAGACAGAGAACAAGTGGAAAAGCAGATTTATCTCAAAAGGCAGCGTGTATGGAGAAGAGACAAAAAAAAAAAAAAACGTCCCCTCTGGGCACGTTTCAGGTTGCGCAGCTTCTAAAGTGCGCTGTCCCTGCAGGACGGGATGGGTGAAGCGTTGGATTTGCTGAGAGTTTCAGTTCACTGAGACCTCTTAGGATTCAGAATTGGACTCCTTTCCCGATGGACGCTGCGTCAGTGGGCTGCAGCCGACACGCACTTTCACAGAACTTTTTCTTTGTTTTTGTTTTAACCAGATTTTAACAAATTTTTTTTTAAAAAAAGAAACAAAAACCTCAAAGAAAAGCTCCCCCAAATCGCCTGAGTAAACCTCTTACTTTGGAATGTCAGACTTGAAGCCCCAGCCTGCGTTATCAGAGTTTTGATGTCTGATCCACCAGATTTATATTGATGCCTCCTGTGTTGGCAGTGAGCCCTCAGCTCTCCTTAATCCTGCAATTAACAGACTAGTTCAATTACAAATTGTCTTTATACGAGTTTCAATGAAGACAAGTTTGACACCAAAGTGTATTAAGAGAGTTGCTGCGGCTTCTTATTGTAATATGTTCATTTATTATTGTGTTGTTAGAAAGCTGTGGTCACAAATGTTCAAGAGTTTCTAATATTACCTATTTTTATGTTTCTGTTATATTTGCAAGACTTTGTTCAATATAGGTTGTTATTAGTTTTATTTTTATGTCTAGAAAGACTGTTTTATGTGTTGTCTGATTTAAGATTTTTTTGCACTATAACAGGACAGCTCCGCCCATTTCCTCATTCATCCAATGAGGATGAAGGGCGGGGCTTACAGCCGGTCAACGCCTCTCTTTCTGTAGTCTTTTGTTTTCCACATCTACCTGACTACTCCATTCACTTGCCAGCAAGTTTTTTTTTTTAATCAATTTAATTTTCTTCATTTTTTTATTGAGTTGCAACATAGATTTTATTTGTATCAACCTGTTTTAAAGGGATAGTTCTGATTTATACAAGTGAGGTTTTGTGGAAAGTTTGTAAACAAATAACATGGTAGCGGATGCAAAAATCTTGTTAAACTGCCTCAGTTTGGAGAAACTGACGTTGGCGCTGGCTCAAATGATGATTTAATGAGCGAGTTCAAGCAGATCAAGACTAAAGTGGATTGATAAACATAATCATAAAACAACTTCAGTCCAAAAATGACACTATTTTATAAACCTTTACATTGTCAGCAGGCTTACATTTTATGATTGTTTTGGCTGAATTTTTTAATTGTTAAAGACTTGCATGACCAAAGGTGGTATAACTAACTTTTGTCATTTGTGTCTACAAAAACTGTCGCATTTTATGTAAATAACTGTGCCATTTGAAACTGATGGTATGGTAAAGGTTTGTAGAATGGTAGCAATCCACGTTGGTCCTGACCCTGCACGGAATACCTGTTCACACTTCAGTCTGGTCAGAAATAAACTGAAGTTATTTTAAAGGGTATCTATATTATTATTCGTAATAGTTCATAAACCCCACCTCAAAAGATGCAAACTATTACTTTTGATTTACCTTTTCCTACTTTCTTAAGTAGGTATGAACTTTCATCATTCAGTTTCCAGAAAGCTCTTTAACTTCCTGATACATGGTTGCTGTGCTTTCCCTTACATGGAGCGTAGACCATCCCAACTAAAAAGTTCCCTGTAATTGATGGAATAAATTTTAGCCTAAGACACATTGCACAGCTGCAGCGCGTTGATTAAAAGCCTTGGTTCCAGGTGCAAACCCCCATCTTTCTACCCCCACACACACACCTCCATCCCATCCTTCACCATTCTCTGAAAACATGCCTCTGAAAAAAAAAAAAAAAAGCCAGACCTTTCTTTTTCTCAAATCCCTCTTTTTTTTGTCTCCCTTGAGCATAATTCTGTCTAACAATAGCAAAACTTGCTGGTTCTCTGTGGAATTGTGTCTCACAGACCTACATTCTTCAGATTGCTGGTTGCACGCTTGCAACATCCAATGCCTCTGAGCACAGATGTGAACTAAATAGGTCCACAAAACACAGATCACTGAGATGTGTTATCTCCTAAATGTGTCTGGTCTGAGCTGCCATAAAAACGACAACATCAGTACTTTGAAGGAGCAACGTGTGCTAACCCCTATTTATGGCAACACCCAAGACGGGCTGGTGAATAAGTGTCCCAAGAAGTTGTAATTTTTGTGAGGGTTGAAATCAGGTCTCTCTTGTAAATGAGTCCTTGAGGCTCAATGGGATTTACCTGTCTAAATAAAGGTTGAATGCATGAAAAAAGTTGAAGCAAATTTCAGTTTATTTTTTGTCATCTTATATTTGCATTTGGTTTTACTGCTTTTTGGCCTTTTTTTGTATCAATATAGGGATAAAACAGACATGATATTAAAGTAAATAGACAAAGAGAGAGTCAAATAATCCAGTGAATTTGAGCTAAAAGGTAAAGTCTTGTGATCAAAGTGTAAAGAATCATTTTGACAAACACAGTTCTGATCAAAGTGTTAGACTCTAGCATGTAAAGTCAAACACTGCCTTAATTCTCACACTCATTTCCTCACTTTTAATTTTCTAACCCCCTGCCAGCACAACATCAGAAGTGCACCCCCTGCGGCTATGTGTAATTATTATGGTATTAGTCCAGAAAAAGAGCCATTTAGCCACGAGGAGGGCCACTTTCACTGCTGTCCCAAAGCACTTCAGTGGTCAGTTTTGTAAAGTCAAACACGTCATTTAGCATTTGAATGTAAAAATATATATATTTACAGGTCTAAATATTTATTTAGTTATCTCTAAATGGAGTGACACAACCCATAAATAACTCATAGACACACATCACTTGATCACATCCAGCCCTGGAAACCGCCTGGCTAGATAACAAGGATCAGGCTTAATGTTTGCCCCCGTGTCCTTTAAGGTCTTTAGAGAAGTGGGCTTTTGACTGGAGGGGCCAAACTGATTGTATTTGTGAATCTGTGTGACTGTGAGATAATGACTGAGTAAATCACTGAGTTGAAGTAAGTGGCATTCCTCAGAACATGTTGCCACTTGCTTCGTAATGTGAGTTTTTTGTGTGTCATCCCCTTAAATTTTGTAGAAAAGAGCTGCTTTTAAAGCCCCTCCTGACCACAACTCACAGGCAGTAATCTAAGTACAAACATGTGACCACAAAGTGGTTTTTTATCTCATCATCTAAACGCAGGCTTATAGGTTAATGTCTGGAATATGTTTTTATTTTTTTGTTGTTTTTATCAGGTCGCATTCTTGTGAGTTGTTTGGCTCAGCTAAATAATGACAGGGCACCAATTAAACATTTAGTAAAAGGTATATTTATTTAGGTTGATTTTTGCTAGTGTCCTCACAGTTGTTAAACTTTTACCCTGGATGATGCATTAAAAGACAACATGATGTTTGCTGGTGAGCTCAGTGGTTTTCTGCACCCAAATGGTTAATATAATTTAGTAAAAATAGTTTGTAGCTCAAATTCCAAACTTCATTTGTCTACTTTAAATTCTCTTCCACTAATAAGGGTTTTAAAAGAGCTGTCGCCACAACTGTCATCACACACACAAAACACACACAGACCCTCGACAGCTTTAAACTAAAGGTGTATTTTTACCAGATTAGCTTTGTTTGCGTTCCCTTCGCTCGCCCTATTATTTTATCAGATCCCTCCCCTCATTACCTTTTATCCATCTGCTTCTCTTTCTGCTCACGCTCTTGTTCTGTTACAATGGCAGATTAGCTGCAGTCTCGTCTTCCTGATGAGTGTTTAGTTACTGAGTTAACTTTTTTTTGGGGCCTGTGTCAGTCACCGCACTTTTAAGTGTGGTTAACGGTTAATGACCTTATAACATCAGGAAGAGAGCCCACAGTGTTTTAGTGGGAGAGGGTCTGTTTGCCTTTACACCCTTCCCCAGAGCCCTTTGCACAATGGATTTATGGCCTCTATTAATGATTTTAAAATAAGACTGACCATCCTCCCCCCATTGGACTCACTTGTTTTTCATTTACCAAAGCACACATTACCTGCGTCATGTCTCTGCCATCGTTGGTATTTTAACTATTTTATGTATAAGTCTGAAAAGTATTAAAACATAAAATAGTTGAAAAGCAAACATAGTGAAAATGGTAAGGTGCGGTCTGTTGTTTTGAGGCTGTGCTGCCTTATAATTACTGGGAGTTGTAGGGAGGGAAGGAAGGAAGCAGAGAGGAAGGGATGGACGGAGAGGATCAGGGAGTGGGATGAGAGATCATTAGAACCAGCTATAGCTGCTGCCACTGTGCAGTTTGCTTCTTCTTGTCTCCTTGGAGGAAGCTGATAGTGATGTGCAATTTCAAATGCAGCCTTGAAAAGAGGCTACACATTTGTGTGCGCGTGTCCTTGTCTCTGCACGTGTGTATGCGATGGCAAATTAGGTTGGGGGGAAGGTGGTTGGGGGGGATCCAGTACGGGGTGATACAAAATTGAAAATTCACAAAGCTCTTTCATGAAGTGAGGTTAAGTGCTGCCAGCCTATTTAGCAAGAGAGTGGATGTAAGATGTAAGAACTTCATTATTTTTTGTTGTTGTTGTAGGAATATACAAAGTGTGGTGGGATTTTTCTGGAGCTCTTCCAGTCTTTCCACTTGTTTAATGAAACAGGGGTGCATTATGGTGGTTTACTTATGATTTACAGCACTTCGATTACG